GAAATTTGTTATAATAATTATAGTATAAAAAATATATTTATATATCATTTTTATTTTCCTAATTTTGTTTTACACTTTATTTTTATTTTTTTGACACTTTGTAAAAAAAATACTTTTTTTTGGTCAGTTTATATCAAGCAAATAACTTTTTTTTTTAATTTTTGGCTATTATTAGGCTGCTCCAAACTTAGGAACAGCTATTAATAACCTTAGAGACTGATCCTGACAGCATGTCAGATTCAGATTTCACTAAAAGGTCTTTGATCGGCCCAGACGATCAGAAGTCTGATACATTCCACTCAAAGAGATACATTGTATCTCTTTGGTGAAATGTATCTCGAGCTGTCAAAACGAATAGCAATAGAAAATAGCAGAGAGGTAGCAGAGTGAGTCACCTCTCTGCTATTTTCAGCTGTCAAATAGGGGATGGCTATTTAGCGGTCCCGTATTTGCATGTAACGGCTTCATTCTTTCATTAGTGAAAGAAAAAAACTTTTACAAAAGCTTAACTATTTCATTAATGAATGCCTCAATACTGAGACATTAATTAATGACTGGTAACTGCTGAGAATCAGCGGTTACCAGCATTACAAAACCTGATATAACTCGTCATGTACAGTGTACGTGGCCAGTCATATAGGCACTTTGTGATGGGACGTACAGTGTACGTCTCCTGTCACGAAGGGGTTAAAGTGTCGCCTATGGCCAATTTTGGGTATTGTAGTTTTTTGAGGTTTTCGACCGCACAGTTTTAAGGCTTGGCATGGTTGGTGTCTTTTTACCCGACTAGACCCCGCCTTTTATATTTTACAAAAAAATTGGGTAATAATAAATGTTTTATAATTTAATATTGGGGAAACAGTTTTTTTTCGGTAAGTTTTCCTTAATATAGTAAAAAATAAAACCCCCCAGTGGTGATTAAATACCACCAAAAGAAAGCTCTATCTGTCCCCAACAAATGGTATAAAATTCATTTCAGTACAGCGTTGCATGACGGAATAAATGTCAGTCAAAGTGCCGCAGCGCGGAATACTGAAAAATGGCCTGGACAGGACTTTAAGTGGTTAATGTGCAACTTCAAAAAATAACCTTTGTTTGCCTTTGGGAGGATTTTCCCTTAAGCTGCCCATGCACTTTCCTTCATTCAACCCGTGGATTGAACTAAGAAAATATTAGATTTGTCCATCAACCCTTAAGAGTGTTGATTGAAAAATCTCCTGCTATCTTTATTGTATTCTAAGAATACCCGAACTGAGCCGACCGCTGATATTGGCTGCCGTTCTGTGTGTTCAAAGATTTTCTGAGTGGCTCCTTTGATCAGATGACCAAGGGATGCCAGCCGAAAGGGTTCAGACAGCGGCACCCACTGTGCAAATTTTGGCCTGTTGATCAAGAACCGGGCGAAATTTGTATAGTATATGGCCAGGTTTACTTGCTGTTCTGTTTGTCAATTCTACCTGTATTTTTGTGCTGGTCTTTCTTTTATTGCTTTTCTTGTAGATGCAGTTCATTGGCTTAATTTCATGCCCTCTGTAACAGAGCATGTAACTCTGATGATGCTTACAGTCCAAATAATATTGTTTTTCTAAAAGGGAAACCTTAGCGCTCATTTACACGTAAGTAGTTTACCATGGTACAATTGCGCATGATAAGTTCACTATTTTATTCAAGTTAATGTCTATATAGTTACAATTTATGTGGTTTACTTTGACAGTGTGTGTCCATACTTCTGCATGCAGTAATTTTAGTATGCTTAATTGCAGTGCATTACAGGATTCCCTTTAGAACACCCTTACTGCATTTAAACAACACTTTGAAAACCATGGGTATTTTTGACCTGCAGTTATCACCATGCAGATTTAGAGACCCTCAAAAGAGCACTTACTCCAAGAGCAAGTAAAATACATTAAACAAATGTTCAACTTCTGTACTTTATTTGTGTAGTGCAGTTAGAGAATATTACAAATAAGAATTGTCTAAACATAGACTGGTTAAAAAGAGAGTGAAGACGTGAAGAGTATTTCAGGTTTCAGAACTTCTGAACTTGGCATTCAACCACCAAGAAAACATGAGAGGATTAAACAGAATATCTGCCTGCCTGTGCCCATTTTCCATTACTACAGCAGCTACAAGAGTAGGTAGAAATATAGCTGATACCTGTCTGCCAACAGTTGTGCTCTAATCCAGCCTTCCTCCACTAGGGTGGCTGGAAATTCTCACACAGAATCATGCTTCTGATGTGAAGGGGGGCACCTGATGTGAACGAAGGGGATTTTGATGTGAAGAGAGGTTCATAGTGTGAGATGGAAAGACTCTGATGTGAAAGGGAGCTCCTAATATGAATGGGGGCTCCTGATGAGAACGGAGACTCTTATGTGGAAGCGGGGATTTAGGTGTGAAATGGGGGCTCAGATGTGAAAGGTGAACCCCACTTTTTCTTGGCAAGACTACTATTTCTGATAATGGTTTGGTATGAATTTTGGAGGGACCAAACCTTTTTTTTTTACATTTATGGATTTTAGATTGAGGTGCTTTGAGATTTTGGATTCTTTTAAAAGGGTGCTGTGACTTAAAAAGGGTTAAGGAATGCTGCTTTAGGCTACACAGTGGCTGAGTGTTTTTGTTCTCCCTTCTAACTTTGAAGAAAACCTTCTGAATGCAATACAACATGACCTAACTTCAATGTCTAATGTCTGACGGTATACAATTTACATTCTGTGACCTATAAGCTGAAGAAATCCTTAGCTAAACCTTATGGATTTCTGTCTATTAACCCCTTCGTGACTGACGACGTACAGTGTACGTCGCCAGCATCGGGGCTGTTTAAACAGACTCCCGGCGACTTTTGCCGCCGGGACTCTGTTTAAACTTGTAGAGCCGACTGTCGGCTTTACAACAGAAGCGATCCTGGCGACTTACCTGTCGCCAGATCGCTTCTGTGTCCCGAAGAAGGGGCCGCATTTTAAGTCATTTTCAGGCCTAAAATGTGGAATATAACATGGGTGCAAAAAATGAAAAAAGGGCCTCAGTCATGAAGGGGTTAAAGCATAACATAAACAGTGTTTTTGTTCATTGCCATGTAATCCGCCCATTGCTATATATAATGAAAAACAATGTTTTAAATGAACTATAGCTTTTATCACATGGATCAAATAAAATTAGTAAATGCACAATATGGTATGAATTTTTGTGCTATCTTATATGTAAATTCACAGCAATTACACACAGTTAAATTCTTTATAGCATTGTTAGCGTCTTTTAGGTGATAATTGGTTATAGGAGTCTACTGCGGACAGCAAATGAAGCCATTCAAACTGGAGATAATGTGTCATAAGAGAAAAAATACTGATCATGAGAAAAAAAGGCCTGCAAAAATAACAATTCAACCCATCTATGTATCTAAGCTAAAAACTTAGTATGAGAAAATAATTAAGAAAAAATAATGAACACGCTTAAAATACATCCTACATTGTACTCCTTTTATACAAAGATTTGTGTTTATATTTTAGTTATGTTTATGCTTCATGGATCAATCAAATATTTTCATTTTTAATATCAGTAATATTAGCACAGTGATCCTAAAATGCAAACTCACACCAAAAAACAACAGTATGGATGTATACTGTAATGACCACGTGATACATGTTATATAAGCTGAAATACTGTCCTTGTGAATTATCTTTAATAAATAATTTAATCTAAGTTATAATGAGATCATTGCCAATAAGTGGTAAAGTCTAAAAGGAGCAAAGAGATTTAAACACTCGTGTAGACTCCACATGGGCAATTACCCCTTAGGGTGGCCAGTGGAGTCTGTTCTGCCCTGATACCTAGCAACTGCATAGTAGGCCTACTTTCCAGAGATCAGACACAGTGATGAACCATCTCTTTAAATTTTCCATATAAATATGACACAGACAAAAATTGAGAAAGGATATCACTAGAGATGCACCAAAATGGAATTTAAAAAAAAATTAATTAAAAATTAGTCAGGCTGAAACCAAAACCGCAAATTACATCCCGAACCTTTTTACAACTTTTTAAATTATTTTATTTTACTTTACTGCCGGGGGCTCTAGAGAAATATCAGGGGTCTAAACAGACCCCTGATATTTCCCTTTTAAAATATAAAAAGATTGAGAACACAGAGTCATAAATCTTTTTCTGCAGCCCCTGTTACGAATGAACAGGAAGCCTCTATACTGAGTGCTCATGTCCATTCATAAACTGTGGAAAAAGTATCAGTTACTATGTCTGCAATCATGAATGAACAGGAAGTGATGTAGAGCACTTCCTGTTCATTCATAACTGGGGACACAGTAAGCACACTATTTCCTCAGTTATTTACAAACACTCAGTGATCAGCTGATCGCTGAGTGCTTGTAAGCCTCTCTCCATCCTGAGAGGAGAGAGCTCCTGACAGCCCACTGCTCCCCGCTCTCCATCTTGACTTTCAGTCTGTCATAGGAGCCTAGTAGGGATGTGCGGGAGGAGAGCACAGCCTCCAGTGACACCTTTCTCCACCCCACACCGCCCCGAACAGCATCCTGAGCTATCTTCTCCCCGCTCAGCCTCTTGAAACCTTCTCTTCCCCCTGCTAGGCACAGGTCTCTGTGCCCTCGGATCCCTGCTGCCTTTGCCAACACGGGCGAGGAAGAGCAGTGGGCATTGGAGGGAACACACACCGATTCCCAGTGGGGAGGAGAGAAGCAGTCAGGATGCACTGAATTTTAGGCCTTTATGGTACTTTCGGGATTTTCTGGACCTATTTTCTGGACCCACTTCCTGGACCTATTTAAGCCGCAGAAGAGGCTAGCATGGTGTTCCACTATTGGAGTCAGAACACCTGCTGCCTCCTGAACCACAACCACCTCTGCCTGAGGGAATACTGAAACCTGGACAACTTCACCTTCAGCCCTGGAAGAACCTCTTCTCCTGCTCCTCAAAACTGCAAGTACCATTCTCAAAGGAGTCCTATGTATCAGCTATATACAAACTTTATGTGTGATTAAGGACGGTATCTACTACTTCCAGCTAACCTTCCTTGTTGTTGAGCTACCCTATCTGCACTTGGGGACTGTTGGCCAGTACTACGTGTGGAAACTGTCGCCAAGGTTACACAATTGATCTCATTTAACTCTTAAACTTTGGCTAATTTCATTAGAGATAACTTACTGGTACCTAGCTAATACACCAATACATATTTTGCCAACACTTTAGCTTTAGAGATTATTTTCCTTAATTATAATCATAATCATAATTCTAGCATGCGCCACTCCATATTATTATACTTGCCCCTCCCCTGCCTGCTATGCAGCCTTTCTACCCTTAATGAACATGTAACAGTGATTTATATACTTTAAAACTCTTGAAAAAACTGGGCCACAGGACAATCTATGCCTCATTTTATCTTGCTGTGCACTAGCAATGGAAGGAGTCCGGAGGAGCTAGCACATCACTGCAGGAACACCCAGTGCAACTGTGACTTACATTTCTAAGCTAATACACACGGCTTTGTCTAACTGTAATGGTATTAGACAGTAAACCACATACTGTGTGTTTGCAATCCAGATCACACAGCGTAAGACAACTTTTTCTCATCCTGATGAAACTGGCTGCGTGTAAGTTATGTGCACCACAGTAGACTCAGCAGCTGTCTCAAGCTAAAGCTCAGAGGGTGTGTCTAAGATAATCAGTATGTCTTGGAAGCCTGGCTTGTTTGGCACAAGAGGCAGAAACAGATGGGACAGAAACAGATAAGGCTGAATTCTGCTTCAATCACTTCAGCTATTGACTAAACCAATTTTACATTTCTGCTATGAACTTGTTTATTCAGCAATACATTTCTCATTACTTAGGATAACAAAGTAAAACATATAATGTTTTTTAGGCCTCGTACACACGGGTCGTGAGGGGGCGGTAAAACCGCATGGTTGATGTGTGGTTTTACCATCCCTCAGCCATCTAATGCAATGTCAGCACTACTTTGCATCGTGGCAAAAAATATACAGCTTGATACTTTTGATATGCTGTCAAAAGCAACAATTGAAATGAATTGGACCATGCAGTATCGCCTTCTGAACGACAGGTAGCCAATGCTCCATGCCCTCTGAAAAGTAATACTCTGTGGCTCGTGGAGTATCAAGCCTTCCTGAACGAGGACTAAAGTACAGATAAGGCTTTTTTTTGGTGATATTGTCTTGTAAAAATTATTTTATTTTTTATGCAATCTATATACAAAATGTAAAAAATCTTAAACATCTCAATTTATTCTACTTTCACCAGTGCTGTTTTTTTTAAAAAAAGGTTTGTTTTACTGTAGATAAAAAGTATAAATATTATTCTATAATTGGTCCTTTTTTAATGACACTAAAATTATGTTTCTGGTAGGATAAATAGCAAAGTTATTTTAAGCTTTTTCAATTTCGAAAAAATAGAAAAATATTAGCAGAGAAATAGTAGCTAATGGAAAATGGGGGGAAGGAGTTAACTATGGCTGATTAAGGTAAACAAAGGGTTAACTAAAAACACTTTTTTATTAGATCCCCCAGGTGATACAACCCAAAAGGTTAAAAAATGAGCCCCATGCCTTATTTCCACATGAAAGCTCTTGCACTATCTAGTATTCATATTTTCACATCAATGTGTTGCCTAACGATAAACAAGTCTGTAAGCTTCTCTAGAAGATACAATAGTTAAATAATTTGTGAAAGGTGGATACTTACATATCCACACAGAGACAGATGAATGGATTTTTAACTCTAGCGATGGAGTTGGAATGTTTCTACTTAATGGATATGAGTGTAGCAGATACTCACAGTACAACTTCTACATGATCCAAAGCCCATTGATCATGACCTGTTCCATTATGACGTGGCTGCCACCAGCGCAATAGGACTCCTTTCATACGTGCTTCCCTAAAACAATGAAGCAACACAAACTTCTCAGTAAACATTTTCCATAAATCACATTCAAACATGTTTTCTGTACAGTTATCTTGTTGCTCTTTGCATGTTCTTACACGAAGATTAAATTGGAAACATTCTAAAAACGTCATCAAAATTTAGTGCACATTGTCCACCTCTACTTAATACATTTCCTATGAGCTCTATATCTGCACATAATAATGACACTTATATACAATACTTACAGTGGAATATTGTAGGACACTCTTTGTGCTGGTATGAAATCTTTAGGCTGGTGCTGGGCGATTACTTGCCATGTTATGCCATTATTAACACTGTACTGTAACAGTACTGCTTTGTCTACAGTGTTGGGATCGCTTAGGTTGGTATTGCAGCTCTCAGTCTGGGCAATGCTTCCTACCTGAAGCACGAACATGATTTTGCTATAGAGAAAAATGTAAAGGCACAGTAAGACTTTGAGTAGTCATGGTAGCAGTCTTAAAAATGCATATCTTCAAACATCTTTTTAAATTATACCGTGAATTAAATGTTATATCACAATTGGTCAGACTGAGTCAGAAGGTTTGGGTAGCAATGTATTACTGTACGTGAATGACCAATATTTAGCTAAGTATTCCTCTAGACTCATTGTTTTTGGAAATGTGCCCTCCACTCCTGTGGGGTTTTTTTTGTGCTTTTTCTCCTTTGGAAAAAGATCTAACTCTCTATGCCTTCTGCTGACCTAGAAGGCTTATAACCTGCTATGACTAGATCAAGGCAGTTGGTAGCATACCTTGGCCCTCCATCACACATTTTGCGATAATAAACAGTTATTATTTACCTTGCTCTTGTGAGATCGAGTGGTTTTGTTATGGCTTGTCTTATCTGACACCCATTGAAGTATAGAGAGTCTCCATGAGCATATGGGGAAAGCTGTCCACATCCATTTCCAATTACACCTCCTTGAATATTCTCCCAGTTTATTTCTGTCACCTTTTCAGATTCAAAATTATCTTTAATATAACTTGGAAGGTCATGATTAAATATGGAGCAGTCATCACCTGCAAGTAAATTATTATGTTTTATTACCCATCCTTTTAATTTAAGTAATTGCAATTTCATACACAAATATATGCTATATAATAGGTCCGAGGGAACATAATGCATTTGAAAGACATTTAATAAAAGACACTATCGTAAGATGCATTAGCCTTAACTAAAAGACTCATCTGTTAGTCAGCACTTAAAGAATAGACATTCCAGACATATTTACTAAGTTACTTCAGGATTAATTATTGGCTTTCTTATTAATTACCGAGTCCCAATCCTCTAAAGACTGGGTCTTAAGCAATGCATGGACAAACATTTTTGGCTGGCTCAGGTGAACATTTATTGTCTTTCAGGACAGGCAGACTTCTAGACTGGGCAGAATTAAAACTAGTTGTGTACTTTTTTTAATAACTTCATTACTTCAGAAAAAATACCTTGGAATCCCTCGTCACATATACAGATCACTCCATTAGTACAGTATCCATGTCCACTGCACAGCTTAGGACAGGCTTCTCCAATATAGACATGGTCCACAGCCCAGCTTTGTTTCTCTGTCTCATCACCCTTCTGAATCCAACGGAACTGGGTAGCACTAAGAGAAATACAAATTATGTTTTATATAAATAGTTTTAAAGAAAAATTTTCTGTACCATTGCCCACCCTGCCAAACCCCTCCCTCGCCAACACAACAAGCCCCCCTAAAGAATTAAACAACAAGAAAATGGTTTCCCTGTTTTTCTTTGATACAATAGAACAATTCAGGGGGTTATTAATTAAGAGTATATTAATATGTAAAGGCCATCCAGAAGACCCTTGCTGGTCTACTGGTAGCATTTCCTCATTTCTAACACTCAAAATACAAGTAACAGGTTTGTAACAGGATCAGGTTTGATTTGGATTTGAAAGGCTCCATTTATAGTGTCTATTTCTCCTCTCCAGTAGCGGAAGCATGGTTTAGATCTGTTTATTCGTGGTGCTTCCCTGGCACCTTCATGATTTCTGCTTTTCTTTTACAAAAGTTTTATTGCAAGAGAATGAATAATACAGGTGCAAGTGTAGAGCAAGAGTTGAAAGCACAGAGCAGAATACATATCTCACTAATACAATAGTACATCTGTCTGTGGTTGGTTAAGTATTTTAGAGAGGAAATCAGAGAAACAAAGGAAATGTTGCATTCAGCTTCCAAGTTGGGTTACTATTAATGTAAATGGAGGGTAAAAGGGGTTTTACTATATAGGAAAAAATGTTCAGAGGAGGGGAAAGCATGGAATGGTAAAGAATAGAGAGCAAATAGAGAGTGAGAAAAAGGATGTAGGCCAAGGAAGAAAGAAAAAAATAAATCCCTGGCAGCAGGAGAGGGAAGTTGGGAGGGTCAGTCCATATATCCACGAGATCTAGTGCACTCCTTACAGCCATATACCTAATCAATGATGGGTTCAAAGGTAAGAAGACGGATGATGCCATCAGTAAAAACAGTCCAAAATGACAGTTACTATTGTAATGACAGTGTACTATTGTAGAATTACAAATATAAGACATTTATGCATCAGCAAACAGTATAATAGAGCCAACGAGGACCCCCTTTCTCAGGCAGCAGTGACAATTACAAATAACAGACACAGTTTAGATAGATCAAAAAAGAGGGTAACAGTGTTTTACCAGAGAAAACACTGTGAAAGAAGGTTATTAAATTGACCAACAGTTTAGATAGCCCTAGATAACCCAGAGGTAATCAAACAATGCATAGAAACAGCAATCAGCCACTTGTGATGGCTTCCTAAATCTGCTAGTAGGCAGGTTACCATGACGACAGGGACACCTGTTTGATAATGTTTTTTTCAGTGATCTTGTTAAAGTCTATGGAGGCAATTTTAGGTATAAATGAGGTAATATATGTGTATATTTTAGAAGTTGGGAAGGGGCACCCAATAGTGTTGCCATTGTCCAAGTATCTGAAATGGAGGGAGGGGCTCTACCCACTATTTTTTCTATATGGATTAATTGATCCATGATTACTCTCGTGAAGGATAACTGTGAGTTTTTCATTAATTAGAATATCATTAAATTGTTGCTCTACAGCATTCAAATTGAGGGTCTTCACTTTCCATGCCCTAGTGAACATCAGTTTGGTGGTGATGTGATGATTGCTGCTTTTCATGGCATCTGCAGAAGCAGGTTCATATTACTATTTCTATTACTATCTACTATTTCTACCAATATTTCTTATCACCTGCCCTCAAATGTATTCTCCATAGCAATATACAGATTTTATACAATGTGCACATATATTTATTACTCCTGCAGGTAACATAGGTATTATGAACTGGATTATACATAGCAACAAAGTTCACTTTTAATTAGTTTACATCTACAGAATGATATTACATGATTCATTTTTCAGTGATTAGGTTACTATGGCAACTTGCATTTACTTGAAAGATAAATATATCTCCAATTTGACTCATCTGGATGCAGACCAGGAGTCCCAGATTCAACGCAAGAATAAAGTGCTTAAACTGAGAAAACTATCTGAAACCTTTACAGCTCTGTTTGCATCAATTGTTGGGATTATATAACATCAAACAATCATGAGAGGCAGAGGCGGCTCTAGAGTTTGCGAGGCCTTAGGCGAAACCTAAACATGAGGCCCCGCTCAGGCCTGTGGGGTCTCACCAGGGTTCTGTGGGGTTTAACCAGGCTGGTGAGACCCCACAGAGCCCCAGTAAGACCCCCAAAGAGCCCTGGTGAGACCCCACAGAGCCCTGAATAACCCAGGTCTCTGTAGGGTCTCACCAGGGCTCTGTGGGGTCTCATCAGCCTGGTTAGACCCCTCAGAGCCCCGGTGAGACCCCCACGGAGCCCTGGTTAAACCAGGGCTCTGTAGGGTCTCACCAGCCTGATTATACCCCTCAGAGCCCTGGTGAGAACCCACAGAGCCCTGGTTAAACCAGGGCTCTGTAAGGTCTCACCAGGGCTCTGTAGGGTCTCACCAGGGCTCTGTAGGGTCTCACCAGGGCTCTGTAGGGTCTCACCAGGGCTCTGTAGGGTCTCACCAGGGCTCTGTAGGGTCTCACCAGGGCTCTGTAGGGTCTCACCAGGGCTCTGTAGGGTCTCACCAGGGCTCTGTAGGGTCTCACCAGGGCTCTGTAGGGTCTCACCAGGGCTCTGTAGGGTCTCACCAGGGCTCTGTAGGGTCTCACCAGGGCTCTGTAGGGTCTCACCAGGGCTCTGTAGGGTCTCACCAGGGCTCTGTAGGGTCTCACCAGGGCTCTGTAGGGTCTCACCAGGGCTCTGTAGGGTCTCACCAGGGCTCTGTAGGGTCTCACCAGGGCTCTGTAGGGTCTCACCAGGGCTCTGTAGGGTCTCACCAGGGCTCTGTAGGGTCTCACCAGGGCTCTGTAGGGTCTCACCAGGGCTCTGTAGGGTCTCACCAGGGCTCTGTAGGGTCTCACCAGGGCTCTGTAGGGTCTCACCAGGGCTCTGTAGGGTCTCACCAGGGCTCTGTAGGGTCTCACCAGGGCTCTGTAGGGTCTCACCAGGGCTCTGTAGGGTCTCACCAGGGCTCTGTAGGGTCTCACCAGGGCTCTGTAGGGTCTCACCAGGGCTCTGTAGGGTCTCACCAGGGCTCTGTAGGGTCTCACCAGGGCTCTGTAGGGTCTCACCAGGGCTCTGTAGGGTCTCACCAGGGCTCTGTAGGGTCTCACCAGGGCTCTGTAGGGTCTCACCAGGGCTCTGTAGGGTCTCACCAGGGCTCTGTAGGGTCTCACCAGGGCTCTGTAGGGTCTCACCAGGGCTCTGTAGGGTCTCACCAGGGCTCTGTAGGGTCTCACCAGGGCTCTGTAGGGTCTCACCAGGGCTCTGTAGGGTCTCACCAGGGCTCTGTAGGGTCTCACCAGGGCTCTGTAGGGTCTCACCAGGGCTCTGTAGGGTCTCACCAGGGCTCTGTGGGGTCTCACCAGGGCTCTGTGGGGTCTAACCAGCCTCGTTAGACCACGCAGACAGCTAGTGAGACCCCACAGACCCCCTACCTAGGGTCTCCACAGGACTCTCTAGGGTCACAGGGCTCAAGATTCAACTCCGCCCTCCCAGCCAGATTCAACTCCGCCCTCCCAGCTAGATTGGGATCCTTGTACGGTGGATGGGAGGGGTGAGATGGCTTCCCAGTGGCTGGTGGGCGGAGCTCCAGAAGACAACTGGCCAAATGGACGGACCGAGGAAACAGATAAGCTCTCAGCCCTGTCACTGTCAAACGGAAACTCTCCGTTTGACAGCGACAGGGCTAAGAGCTCATGACGTTACCTGGCTGCAAGGTAATGTGACGGCAGGGCAAATGAGGCGGCCGCGAGGCCCTAGGGAGCGCGAGGCCTAAGGCGACCGCCTAATTTTCCTAATTAAAGAGCCGCCTCTGATGAGAGGTGAATAAAGCTTGTGTTATCTGAAATAACAGGGATCCTTACACCCCTTAATCCTGTTTTAGCCACACTCTCTTTAGGAATAGAGAAATTTCCCTTTCAAACCCGCACCGTTACAATACATATACGTTCAGCAGCAAGACTAACAATTATGCGACGCTGGCGATCACTTGATTCTCGCAATGTCTCTGAACCAGTATCCATTGTTTAAACTTACTATAACTACGAAAGAATTTTAGCTATCCGTAAAGGCAAATTGGCCTAATTCGAATCCAACTGGAGAATTTGGTCACATAAATATAATTCTGTGTATTAATACTGAAATTTAATATCATTAGCTTTACCTATTTGCTTGGCTACACTACCTACTTTTTCCCTTTTCTACCTACTAGTCTACCTACTTTTTCCCTTTTCTACACTAATACATTACAATATAACTTCAATCTCTTCTAGAATAATTGAACCACATAGGTTCTGATGTTATATACACTATTTGTATATTTGTACTGCACTTCCTTTACATTTACTGTACTCTTTTTGATAAATTCAATAATAACTAATTGAAAAAAAACCAAAACCTTGTGTTATGTGAACAGAGGTCTGCATATACCTGGAAGAGACATGGTCTGGTAGCTGCAATGTTACTCTTTTCCACACTGAGCTGTTGACAGAGTTGTAGATTGTGGCTTCATGGAATTGGAATGGGGAACATCCAATGCTGTTTGAGGAGGAAGGAAGGCACTGTGTCTGAACCAGCTGCCATAAATCTGTCCTGTTAACAGTTAGAAAGGAGATAAGTCAGCTAGTAAAAGCATTCTGAGTTATTGCAGTAATTTACAGGAAGCTTAGATTTGACACACATGGAATCCTACTTTACTCCATACAAAATAAACCTGCTATAATGGAAGTTGTTTTCATGGTCATAATCATTATACCATACATTATGTTATGTTCTTTACATATAATATCTTTATCACTGTTAACTATCATGATCAGAACCACTATATGAAATGCCTACACTGTTGTTAGCTGTATCTTACCTAGAATCCTTTGTGTACTCCAGCATTACAGAGTGACGATCAATGCATGTGTTCACTTCACAGCCAACCACAATCTGAAATGGAAAGTTGCTAGTTTAAAGAATACTGAAACTTTAAACACTGTCCATCCAATAATGGAATAAACACTATGGAGAAATGTGAAATAGAACCGTTCTACAGAAATGTACAACAATAGAAGTCTCATACTGTACTCGTGTACTGTTTGAGTACCGCAGTTTAATAGAGGATGCTTTTAACAAAGATGGAAGTTTGAGAAGTCATGCTGGGGAGGAGTTCCTCGGACAACCAATCTGGATCTAAATGACACTGTGAGAGGAAGTTGCATGTGAGTTCCAATGACCGTATGAAGCATCTTGTGGAGCTGGATGTAAGTAGTGGATCACAGAGACACTTGTGTCTTTTATATGTGGGCAGTCCTTATTTCTAAGGGAAGAAACTGGATAGAGGTAAGCAAGCACTATGTATGCTGTAGCCAAAGGAAGGGCTACAGCATCCTAAGTTTAAAGGATATGTGCCAGTATGCCAAACCTAGCTGTGTCTGTTTGTGGGGGGCTGCTCCCCAAGCTATAAAAATATGATTGATATAAATTAACTGCAATGTTATTGAGAGCAATGGATTCTAGTGTTACTGGTGCCACCAGCGGTAGATTTAGGCTCTCGACAAGATTCATAATCTTAGAAGTATACAGTCTTCACCAATGTACCCAGCAAAGAAGGTTAAAACTTAGATTTTTTTAACAAGTAAACAGATAAAGTACAAAATCATAAGGCCAAGATGCAATCTGGACAGCAGCTATTAGTCAACCGATGATATTAAAGGGATACCAAGGGTCCAGAATGATAAATGCGAATAAAGCAATTTCTTGCTAAGATGGTGTTATAGTCATATATAAATGCCCACTAGAGGTTTTTTTCTTAATATTTGGGATTCCACTGTTTTTATTATTATGCCAATAAAAATACACAGCAGGCCATACAAAAAAGGTTTTGGTTGAGATACACTCTAACACTTTTGTATCGCCAGCCACAAACTTTTATTGGTGAAAATTCTACTAAAACTAAACCTGTGGAAACGTTGAACAGCATTTAAAACCGAACGTAGCAGCTGCTTGATCGATTTATAACGAACAATGGAACATGCAGACAAATCACATGAAATAGACAGAATAACAAGCCCTGTACTCAATCCTGCAAATCACAAAAATACCTAAATTATAATCTGTTTTTATCATTCACATCAGAAACAGAAGTCTCAGCTGCACATATTTTTAAATGTATGAGAAACTCTATTGTCACATCAAGGTACTTCTGAATAGGATGGCCCTACTCTGATTTGTGTGAGTGTTAAAACTGGGACATTATCTAATTCATCTCTCTATGCTATCTATCAGTGCAAGCTACATTCTGGTAACCTTGCTTTCAGTTTATTTGCTGCTGACTGGCAGGATAGAATGCTGAGGATTTTTTGTATAATTCACTGCTGTAAAAATCATATGACCCAACAGACAGCCAGGCTTCATTCCTTGGTTCCTATGACCATTAACAAAAACATATATTATTGTATTGTTTAAACCAGTTGCAAACATTTGCAAATAAAATATTTACCTTGAATTGTATCATATAGCCAGGCTGTATAATAAGCTCCCTTGAGGAAAGTATATTATCTGTTCTGTCTTTCTTCTTGTTAGGCCAGTACAGGTGAAAAGATGGGTTGCCACAGAAGCCAGCAGTTCTCACAGCATTGGGGTAAAAACTCCAATGTTCATCATGTGATGTACCTTCTAGAGAGAAAAAAATATCAGTCCCTTTCTGATACAGTACTTACCTAATGCACCATAATAATTACAATCACCCACAAACGCTAATGTGAAAACGGAACTAAAGCATCAACACGTGAGCAGTGGAAAAAGGCTTCAAAGCTTATAGCAACTGTCATTTTTCTCATTTTGAAAAACTACTATTAGTTACATGCAAAACATTTTCTGTCTCTTTCCTGTTGAAAGTTTTAACTGTGTGTCAGCATAACAATCTATGACTTGACAACTGCTAATAGATGCAAGGATAATGCATTTTATGAAAAGTAAAGGGGAAAGATGTACTTGTGTGTTTTTTTTTCAACTTTCATGCTTTCGTGAAGAACTTTAAGTAATACTCATTACATTTTCTACTTTGAAAGCAAATTCTACCAGTCACACATTAAACAGCAACTTTGTTAAAAACAAACAAACATAATAACACAAAGAATTCATAAATATTTAGACAAAGGGAATCACAGCAAAACGAAAGATCAAATTTGGGCTGCATTGAATAATTTAATGTTAGAGATTAGTGACAAACATACCATCATCAAATGTGTCTACAAGCTGGCTGGGGTTGATCTCAGCTCCTCCAATTAATATGTTATCAAGAGCCCACTGTGCACGATCAGGACCAGGTACAACAACACTATTACTAACAGTAAAGGGCTGCCACCAGCGCAGACGGGTTGTGTTAGTCTGTGCGTGCTCTGGTAGTAGGATATAATCATATCTGACGTCCATGTATTTTTGATAGTCCATCTCATGCAGCACTGTCCAGGAGATACCTAACAGAACAAAAGTTTACTAACATATTAATAGGTTCATTTCTGCATATACTATGCTTCAGAATCGGAACAAAGCTATTAACATATGTCTGCACACCACAGAATGCAATAAATAATTGCTCTAAAGGGATGTAACAACCGTGACTTGTCTTGATGCCAGAACATATTTTCATAACACGTTTCGTTTTCAGTATGCTGAAGGAAGGCATCTTTGGCAGAGGAAAATCAGTTACTAAAAATTGAGTATATGATATAAGCTACTGCATCAGCATAACTGAACTAATGTCTCCTTAGGGTTGCCCATGTATTACCCATTATCTATCACTGCAAAAGTGAATGGACATTTTATTGTTCAACTGCTTACTTGTTACCTAAGCAAAAATGTACAATTTACAGATCTAGAGTTGGACCACTTCATTACAGATCAATATAATGTCATTGATTTTAATATATTTGTGTTAATTATTATTGATCATTTACTTTCATGTTACCAAGGAAACTACCCTGACCCTTTGTTCAAACCTTTGTTTAAACAGAGGATTTGATCAGAAGGTATACAATAGATGGGTGGCAATTATTCTCATATTAGGTGAGAAGACTGGGAAATTGGTTTAAAATCATGTATCTCTATACTTATCATACATCTCTCTATATATCATACATCACTCTTTCAGTTAATGGCTGTTTGATTCAGTTTTATACATTTTACATTACATCTTACATGGCTTTCTGTTATTCATGGTGTTCCAACAAAAAGTCAACTTAATACACTTTTTATCTTGCTTAAGTTATGTTCTACACTTGATCCTAAATTATCTTAGTTTGGTATCTGTTGTAGAATCGGATTAACACTGATATATTGTTCTTAATAATTCTGTCATTCTAGTTGTAGAATTTGACTAATTACATTTCACATAAATTGTGGTATACCCAGCCAATCTTTTAAGCCCTCAATGGCTGGTCTTGAGTGCAGCACCATGGCAACTGCCGATCTAGAGGCTAAGATGACATCATCCTAGGAAGATGGTGTTAAGTTCCACTTTAACCTCCCTGGCGGTAGGATTTTTATTTCATGTCATTTATCGGTATATTTCTTTTCCAATTTTTTCCGTCTTTGTCGTTTTTTTTTTTTAATATCCCGCCGGTTCCGCTCCCCTGCGACGCGTACGCTCGAAGGCGACGGAACCCGGAAGCCGGCATCGGCCACAGAACACAGCGCGGCTCGAGGGACAAGGTAAGTAAATGCTATGCGGCTTTCCCGAGTGTAGCTCTGGGTTACCGCTTATGGTATGGAAAAGTAACCCCGAGCTACACTCGGGAATACCGCCAGGGAGGTTAAATTCTAATTGCTTCTACTTCACATTTGCCTAATGTAAAATTGGCTAGAATCATGGATTCCAAGGCTGACTTGGAATGCAAGATTGTTGTTATAGCACTGTAGAGTGTATGCTATTTATGTTACTCTACTAAAACATTTTAATAGAATTATTCAAAGTTACCACCTACATACCTCCATCAATAGAGTAATCTAGAAGAACGCCTTCTTTCCTGCACGTGGGTCTATGGCAAAATGTAATGTTTTCACTTCCAATTCTTGCCCAGTATTGCACAAACCTAACAAAAAAAGAGTGTACAGTCATAATATTTTCTAATTATATCATTTAGTGTGTGTATTTATTTATTTTTTAAATAAGGCTGTTTTATAAAATACAAGTCAAGTCACATATTGAAAAGATCATAGACATATTTGTGGTAGTCTGTAATGCTCCCAATGCAAAGTAATGCAGTATAACCTACTTTGCTCCTCTTAGATCTAGGTCCTGGGTGATTGTCTGCCGTACCGCGCCTGAGCCAAAGTAAAGGGCAGTATCCTCAGCTAGGATGCCACAGTCTATGCATGTCTTCCCTCCTTCCATGGACAACCATGAGTCAGGTTTTAGTTCATCATTGTCAAAGCGCTCTTTCAGGAAGGTCTATGAAACAATGTATTAATTTTACTTAAGTTATAATACCATTGCGGTATGCCTACATTCATTCAAATAGTACATTTGAATAGATCTTTAGAAAGTGCAACAATATTTACTGAAAGATATATATGTATCTTCTTTTTATTTTCTTGATATACAACATTAAGTATAGGAAATGCTGCACAGGTTGGGCAGCAGGCATTACACAGTGACCAGATTCTTACCAGTGATACTTTTGTTCAGCAAAATATATGCCATGACTAAATTTAGATACATGCATGTTAAAAAGGTTTTATATATATATATGTATATATATATATATATATATATATATATATATATATATATATATATATATATGTGTAATACATGTAAAAACAGGCTGCTTCTCTTAAATATTCAGGTGTATTGTGGGAATTTAGGATACCAGTGGACACACTGACAAGGCAGGTTAGGGAAATATAAGCAAAGTAACTTTGCTAAAATGTATCTATTGGTAGATTTGAAATGTACTTGTTTATTATTTATGATAAATAATATGATTTTATCACATTCAAGGACATCCAAAAAATGAAACACAGTATGATAACCACACTCCTGCTTTCCAGGCTCCATTTCTACGGTCTGAGAAGAGGACCCTTTATTTGTAATTGACAAATGCCTCTTTTTCCCCTTGAAGTGAGATATCTTGTAAAAAGGGTTAGGCCTTTTTTAGAGTAAAACTGCATTTGCCACATGAAAGGGACCTTCAGCTTGTGGACATGAATATATCAAAAATATTAAGGGCCCATTCACACTTTAGCACTGCTGCGCAGTGCATTAACAAACACACATTGTGTGGCTTGCTAACATGCTATGCGTCAACGTAGCCCATTTTGAATGGCTTGCCAATGCCCCACAACACGACATGATACATTTTTCTGACACAGACCACCACAACACATGGTTGTGGTGTGCTGCAGTGCAGGTGTGCTATCTGCTTCTGTTTTGGTTTGCCAAAATATGTGGCAGTATACTGCGGAACATGTGTTGCGGTAACATGTGTTTTACTGCATGAGTGACACATGGCACATACAGTATGTGGCAATGGGCACTCTATGTTACAGAGGTGTACATTGCATGCCAAAGCATAGCAAAGCAAAACTCATTCTGTGTGTGGTGTGTATTAGTACAGACCTTTAAAGGATGTGACAGGTAACAGTTCGGTCCAGTGTATCCTGGATCACAGATACATTGCTCCGGCAAGCAATCACCATGGCCATTACAGTTGTCCAGGCAGCCAGGTCCAATGTAGAAATTGTCGATTCCCCACTGAATATCTGAATATTTTTGGTAAAATCGAAACCTGACAGGGCTATATAAAACAAGAGAGTTAAACTAGACAAATCACAAATCCGTGTAAGAGACATTTCTCATTAAGAGAAAATATGAAGCTTTGAATCAAGGCTATAAAACTGGTTGCTAATGCTTTAGGTGGAGAGTCCTATAGAACCACTAATATAATTTTCAACTAAAAATTATTTACTTTTCAATGATTTACTATCTTCAATGTCAAATATGAGGCTTTTCTAGCCAGAAGTTGTACTGATGCATAACAAGCAGTCTTTTTTTCAAGAAATTCATATCTTATGATTGAAAAATCACTTCAACAGTTTAGTCTTTTTGCTATTGTAAAGATGCAAGCCTGGAACTATAAGACAATTGAATTGCTAGCTGTGTACTATTATCTCATCTCTTTAGCAGCCTCTGCTAAATACATATATTACTAAAGCTGAGGCTCCCAGACCCGAATGGCATTTGGGAGCTCCCGATTGCAATCCGGAAATTCGGATTCTGAATGCCATTCGGGTTTAGGAGATTCAGCTTTAGTATTAATATCTGTATATGGTTTTCTGTGGTATTAGCAACGAATATCCGTAAACTTATCTGAAAGTAACGAAAATTCGGATTTCATCTGAATCCAAAACCCCAACCGAATTGAATTTCGGATCCGAATTCTGAAATAACAAAATATCAGAACCGAACCTTTCCACAGCTTACATGTCTAGTTCTGATCAACCAAGTGTGCTGCCATTGTTTCTGATTTCCGTGTATGATCCTGACTCTAGCTGACTGATCTCCTGGTTCCTGACTCCGGCTTTGTTTCCATTCATTCTGCTCTCCGTGCTTCCTGAATCTGACTTGGTTGACTACCCGCTTTGGCATCTGACCCCTGCCTTGGCACTGACTATGTCCTGGACTTTCTCAATTGTTTTTTGACATTTATGTTTATTGTTGTTTTCAATAAACTCCTTTTATATTTTAAACCTGCACTTTACGTTTTAGTCTAGTTTCTTGGTTCCCTAACACCAATATACTCACAACAGATGGACAGAGATTGAACACAGATTATTATTATTGGTATTTATATAGTGCTGACAATTTACTCAGTGCTTTACATTCACATCATGCCCTGCCCTCAGGTAGCTTACAATCTAAGGTCCCTATCTCACATGCATACATACAAGGGCCAATTTAGACAGGAGCTAATTAAACCTACCAGCATGTCTTTGGAGTGTGGGAGGAAACCAGAGTACCTAGCAGGAAACCCATGCAAGCACAGTGAGAACATGCAATCACCTTGCAGATAGCGTCCCTGACTGGGATACTGGGATTTGAGCCGGGGTCCCTCAGCGCTACAAAACAGAAGTGCTAACCACTAGGCCACTGTGCTGCCCCACATTGGTGAGGTCCCAGATGGACCTTACCAATCCATCCTTGCTCTTGGATATGGTCCCCGGAAAAAAAGCATCCAAGAGAATGAGGGCCCCTTTCTTATTCATCCCCTATGCATTTTAAGGTCTTTATTTGGAACCATTGCAGGGGGGGATCTCTCTCTCTACTTGCCTATCACCCCTTGCTAATAACGTATACAACCCTGCCATATTGATTAGACTATCGCAGCTACCACATTGCCTTGAGCACAGACCAAGCTGTTTCAGCTTTGACATCTGACCTATCTGGTGTCTCTCTAGCTTAGAACGTTTGAGGAGTTACGTACTAAATATGATGTTCCCAAGCGACCTGTGTCTGCAATTTAACAGCTATGGGGTTGATTTAATAGAGGTAAAGAGCTTGTTCACTTTGCACGGGAATTTCCAATTTGCAGGGGAAGTTTCCCCATAGTTTAGTGAATGAGGTGAAGCCCTACTGACTTCCATCATCCAATCATGTGCAGGCAAAAACTGTTTTTTTTAATTTTCCATGCACATGCTCTGGTGAAAAGTGAAATTTCACTAAGCTAAGGAAAACTTCCCCTGCAAAGTGCAAACTACCTTGAAAAGTGAACAGTCTATTTGCCTTTGGTAAATCAAACCCTATATTCCTAGCCTCATATTACAGCATTGGAAGACAATTTGTTTAAGTCACCCTTCACAGCCACACATGATCAGCTATATAAACTCATTCACTCTGCCTCACCAGTGAACGAGTGTGAATGAGCATTTATACATGAAAAAAAGAAATAAGAAAATTTGTACCCTACTGTCCTGGGTGCATCCCAACAGTGCCATGCCTCTCTTGATAACTTCCCACCTCATACAGTTAGATTACTCCTAAAAAATGTGTTCTATTCGCACATTGTGTCTATTTTCTTACTGTACTATTTTATATATTCTCCTTTTAGTCATGCTAAATGTATGTACAACCTTGACCTATGCATATATAACTTCTGTACTCTGCTTTGTGCCATGACAATTTCAAATATGTTGTGCTGTATCCTAGTTGTATTAAAACATTTTTAACCTAATAATTTCTGAAAAAAATGGGAGGATGCCCAATACCCTTGCTCTTGTGGGATATGATTTTGGAGAATGCATCCAAGTCCTCAATATGCAGAAGTCAAAAATAGACTCTATACAAAATTCTCATGTTCTGTACAAAAACCCAGTTGTCTTGATTCGTTACATTCAGTCTATCTCCAAAGAATGCTTGTGGTGTGGGCAATCAATTGGTATACTTTATCACATTTTCTGGCAATGCCCCTAAATACAAAATTATTGGAAAGGTTTGCTGACCAAAATACAACAATTCCTGTGGCATTCCCTTTAAACCTAATTCATGATCTCCTTGGCCTCCCTTTACCAAACATATCTAAGAAATTATCAGCACACATCCTTACAGCAGGTAGATTGCAGATCCCTCTCCAATGAGCAAAACATACCATTCCATCCGAGATGGATCTGATCAACAATATTATGGAACCAGCACTGCCATTAGAAATCATGGGGTCCCGTACAGCCTACCTGACAAGATCCCTCCTCCCCCCATTGTTAAAACCACTGGGGAGTACTTAGCAACAAGCAACTGTTGAGACAATAAACACTTTGGTCAGAAATATGTGACATACAAGATAAAGTACAGAATGCGGAAGTCAGAAGTATGTAACAGTGTACTAGTACGCAAAGTGTTGCAGCACAGTGGTAACACTTTTTTGTCAGTTTTGCAGGGCCCAATCTATGTCCCACTCATGCAGGCAGCTGCTGCTGGCTCGGGGCCCCCTAAAGACCCTTTGGTGTCCAGTAAGAGAGATCTGCCTGTACTTCCCCTATCGGTGCCCCTGGCTGCAACATCTGACAACTAGACTCTGGGACAAGCTGGACAAATTCTTACAACTATGGGCCCCATGAGACCAATCAGTCTATGGTTACCCTATTACACTGTACTTATTGACTCATATATCCATGTGATGGTTAATTGTACCCTTTTTGTATGCTTATTAAAATGCCCTGTATCACAATCACTCTGTAGACACAATCACTCTGTAGACACAATCACTCTGTAGACACAATCACTCTGCAGACACAAACACTCTGTAATTGTGTCTTTCTGAAAATGAAAACAATTAATAAAAATATGATAAATAAAAGATGCAAAACAATGAGCTAAATTAACAACGTGGTACATGAATGCCAGGTAAACATCGGATCTCAGACATCCAAATATGTGAAACACAACCTGTCTGTGTTACCTAGTAACAGGACCTTGACTGTAAATTTTCCAGTGCAGATTATAAAATGAATGAAGAACTTTTACTGGTTGCCATGTATAGCACCTATTTTACTGTGCTACATGAGATGCCATGTATTTATACCAACTTACTTTCCAATCAAGTTATTAGGAAGAGGGTAGATGACTCGCTTCCATCCTTTAACAGCAAAGAATACTGATGGCTGTGATACACTCCCAGAACATTTAGGATCAGCAGGTAGACATTGTGGAACCACATAACTCCAGCTCACACCAAAGTCAGTAGAATATTGCACATGCACATTGTTTTGCACATTTTTCTCAGAGTTCTTGCAGCCAACTGCTATCTATAACATAAAAGTCAAAATGTAATTTATTAAATATAAAAATTGCAGCAACTGATCAGAATTCATATTGCAGCAGCCTGAACAATGAAAAGTGAACTACTCTTTGCTTCTTGTACTGTTTTCTGAAAAATGCCCCTATATTGTTCCAATATAACAAATGGAAATAAACATTATAAATAAGATGTGTTCATTATAGTGGTGAGATAGAGGGAAGTTTAATAAAGTGTATGTCTGGGTATAACAATACATATTCAGTAAATCTCTGCAATACATGTACATTTTCCACAAGTTTTATATCCTTAAAAATACAAGTACAGAATAATACCTGTCGATCCTGCTAGAAATCTAAGAGTTCCTAACTTACTGTAGTGAGTTGACAAATCAGCCTTTTCTGCACAGAAATCCCAAGCAGTGTTATCAGCTCTGCATAAATTCTCCTATGTTGGACTACAGAGCACCTCTTATGTTATGGAGATAAGAGGAGGGGGAAGAGCATCCTATATATGTAACAGATAGTTCTGCATATTTACCTTAAACTGCATGATCCAGTTTTCTGCTGGTGTCAAGTCATGGGTCACTGCATACACTTCTCTTCCATCATGGCTTCCGCAGATCATTACACCATCGGGTGAGTCACAGAACCTTTCAATGCTGCAGTCATCATGGAAAAGCCAATGTTCATTCACTTAAAAACAGATAACATCATATAAAAATTTGGGGAAAGATGTATTGGTCAAGTATATATTATATGTGGTAAATGTAAATGTTCATACACCATTAAATGAACCTTAACACCAACCCAAAATTGCCCATGGTAACAACAGTGCTGAAGTGCAGTTTGAGAGTATTGATGGGGGTTGGGCTTAGTGCCTGAACCAATGGGGCTTAATCTTAGCAAATAAAGGGGTTTAGTGCTTGGGGCTTCATCATGAATGGACGAAGAAATCTCCAGCACTTACAAAATCCAAAGATGTGGATATTGTGTTTGTAAATTTAGTAAACTGTCACATGTGTCATACAAGCCAACATTTTAGGGCCTCACATGGTCACTTCATCAGGGTGACATTGTGACAATGTCACCCTGAGGAAGGGACCCTGCATGGCCCCGAAATGTTGGCGTTTATGAGACTTGTGACAGCTTATTCAATTTATGAACAAGGTATCCACGTCTTTGGATTTTGTGAGTGCTGGAGATTTACTCATCCATTCTTGTGTATGCATGCTGCCATCCGTGTTATCACTACAAGCACCGCAATCTATGAACTTCATGGTCTACAAACGCCGTATGTAGTGCAGGTGATACACTACAACACTACATGGGGCTTAATCATGACTTGGAGGGAAGATGAGGCCCAGTGTACAGACTGGTTTTAGGATTCAAGTGTATTCAAAGGAACACAACGATCAAAGTACCTGCACTTTAGCACTGCTAAATAAATTGTAAATCGACTACAGTCAAAGCTGTTTCTTTGTTTTGAACAGAATTGAAAAAGTGTTAGAACCTGTGTTAATTTTTTATTGTTAGGGAAAGCCCTCTGAAGGACAAGAAATGAGGGGAATAGATGTTAATGAGATAGATAAACACAGGCAGTAATTAAAACACGACAGAGGTTCTAACCATTCCCCTCTAATAAAAAGAGTTTTGTCTGCAATTGAGTTTGAAGTACTGCAACAGATTAACAAGAAATAATAGTATCAGCAGGGCTGGTGCAAGACTATTTTGCGCCCTAGGCAAGACCAGCACCCCCCAGCCCCCCTCCCATGGCGCAACCTGCATTTCACCGCCCCTGCCGGCTAGCTACCGCAGGCATGAATGCAGCTAGGTGCAATAGCCAGACTGCTATTGGCTATTTTAATTTGAAATGGCCAATAGCAGACTGGCTATTGAAATCCCATCCACTGAGCAGAGGAGCGGAACTGAGAGAGAAAGTGGTCTCTGAGTTCCGCTCCTCTGCTCAGTGGGCAGGTGCAATAGCCAGCCTGCTATTGGGTTTTGCAATTTGAAATAGATAGGGGGGCCCCATGGGGGGATGAGTGGTCGTGGCTGCGCCCTAGGCAGCAGTGCGCCCTAGGCGGCTGCCTAGTTTGCCTAGTGGTAGCACCGGCCCTGAGTACCAGGTACATATTAAGAATCAGAAATCACAATAGTTTGCCATCCACTTTGATTTAGAAAATGCAGGAGGTTATTATCAAGAACAGAATAATGCTGACCTTCAGCTGGTTGAGCTAGAGTAATAATTATTTGAGATATGTTACCTGCAGTTTTGTCTTCAGAGAAGAAATCAAATGTGATCCTTCCGGTGGGGCCTGCATCCGCTGGAGTGCGTTCATGGTGTGGAAGTGGAGCACTGCTGAATGTATCCAGCATCACTGTACTTTGATCCACAGAGCCTGCTATCAACACGTTATCAATGGCCCAGTCATTCTGATCCAATCCATCATGTTTGGGCTGCCACCAGCGGAAACGGGTGCCAACAGTTTTAGCACTGGATGGCAAGAGGATGTTTACAAAGCTGTAAGTAAACAGTAAGTAATATTAACAGTTAGTATTGCCTCTGGAAACCATTTTGCTAAGGAAAGTCAATGTAGTAAAGGAATAGAAAGCTCAGGTATTGCTGGTGGGGAGGTAGGTGCTGAAATACTGGGGCTAAGGTTAGGTAAAGCCTGCACAAAGCAAGAACTGTGACTGTATTGCCAGCCAGCATTGCATGACAAAGACCAAGCTAAGTCCTGCCAGCTTGTGAAAAAGGCAAAGATAGCGCACATAAGCTGCTATGTTCTCACATAGTGCTTGCTTTACCTAATATTAGCACCAGGATTCCAGCGCTCCCCTCTTCACTGGCAATAGCTACATCAGTATGTTGGTGAAAATCCCATTTTCAGATGTTGCCTTCCCCTTCTCAGACCAAAATATGTCAGCTCCACAATGCAGGCAAGTGCTGGCATGTGTTTGAGGAGGGGTGAGGGCGCCCCCTCCTCTTCTTGAGTGCTCAATGCTAGATTATTGCCTTCATGGAGAATTAATTAAATTCCAAGCACTGCTATTGCTGTGTTCCTCTTGCCAGAATGTAACAAATTGGCAAATTTGGCACTAAGAGCAGTTAAGTACCAAAGCTTCAGGATCTGCTCTGATTAGTGAAGGTACATGACTGGACACTATTGATTTTGTTACATAATTATTTTGCGGCATGACTAAAGGGGCTCAGTGTAATGTATTGTGGTTCTGTTTTAATTTCAACTGATGCTTAATTATGTAAATTCCATCTACCTTGATAGTCATATGAAGGTTGCGTAGTGCTGGGTGAAATTTGCCCAGGCCTACCATAGTATCCTACAAGCTATAGACTCAGATACTGTACATATTTAAACATATACTGTAAATATTATACACAAGAGCTTCTGAATGGACAATTTTTTCTGAATTTGCAATGCAGCGGTACAATGCTTTATCACAAATTCTCCCAGTGCTGAGGTACTGTTCCCTCTAGGTACACTATATGCATGGAGTTTGTATGCACTTGCCATGCTTGTGTGTGATTCTTCCTGGTGTTCCTATTTCCTCAGATAGTACAAAAATGTACTAATGGTGTTATTGTTGACTTTCCCCCAGATTGCCTGTACATACACATTATGTTAGGCATTAACAACTGTGGTAGGGACATAAAAGCAAGTGCACTTGCAGACAGGGACTGATCTGAATAGTTAATGTACCCTAAAGATATGTGTGGATTCTTCTATTTGCGCAAATAAAATAAATAAAAATGCCTTTTCCTATATGTGCTTTAGACAAATATAATAACATGAATTTTAAAGCTGAAAATAATTCTGGTTCTTCCAAAAGTCATAGCAAAATACTAAGGGGGCTATTAACTCAGAGTGATTAACCAAGCCGAAGTGAATGGAGCTGCACACCGTTTGGCTATTCACTTCAACCGTGTATGGCTGTTTTCCAAAAATTCCCGACCATACCCTTATACCCTTAATCCGGGCACTTGCCTGGCAGGGCAGGAGGGGGGGGGGGGGGGGATGAGCAAGTGCCCCCCCCCCTGCACCATACAAGGCCACATGTTCTTGGCATTGGGAGGGTACTTTTGTGTGAACCCCAGGCATTTTTTTAAATTTTTAACTTGGGGGGTCCCTCCTAACATTCCTACAAGACCTAAAGGGTCTAGTGTGGTTTGGGAGGGGAACCCCGCTCTGTTTTTGTTTTTTCTTTTTGTTTTTTTTTCTTTCATTTTGCAGGGAGAGCGGTCGGCTTCGGAAGCATATGCGTTTGGCTCGGCTGAGTGCTTAAGCTGCCTTCTGCTGCCGTATGGGCTAATATGAATAGCCCGTACAGCAGCCCTTCAGTTCGGCTGAAACAAAGGGCTCCAGCGAATGAAGTGAGCCAAAGGTTCGGTTTAATCCCTCGGCTTCTTTGTGAATAACTCTAAGTTTAGTCACCCATATCCAACCATGTACAATATTTCAAAAACATTATGAGGGGAATTTATCAAAACTGAAGCAGACAAAATCTGGAGCAGATGTGCATGGTAACCAAACAGCTTCTCTCTTTCATTTTCAAGTCTTAACTGAGCAAACTGAAGAGAGAAGCTGATTGGTTGCTGTGGGCAACTGATCCAGATTCATGCTGCTCCAGTTTTGAGAAATTCCACCCAATGTATATTCCTTACTTCTAATTTTTGCGTCCAGTGTGTTGCATATAAAACAGTTGACTCAGCCCAAACAATATATCATCAACAGGGTCAACAGTAACAAACAACAGTCATAAATAAATAAATCACTACATACACTATCTAATTTCTCATGTAAACTAATGTACTGATGTGGTAGATAGAGGCTGATCACATTATAATTAATGGTAAAGCACTTGTACCTGGGGGGTTAATTACACAAGTTGTTTAATCAGTTCGGTGTGTTTGCATGTTTCTCTTCAGCTGCATTCTGCTGCATCAGCTGATGGATGTCTATACTTTCAGACCAGGGGCCTAACAAATCTAAAGCTGCAGTTTATTAAACTGCATGATCCATTTTGCAGAGGGACAATGTAGATTGCTTAAGACTCTCTCTAGCTTCCGTATTTTGAGTCACTGACCTGGATTAAGTATGCAGGAAACAAGGTTGGACTGAACTCAGAACTCCTGGTCTGCATTACTCAGAAAATGAACCAGCCTTTTGAGAATGAGCTCAACAATGGCAGCCTACATAGTTCTCTCTGTGCAAGTCTCACTTAAAGCAGATATAAGAATTTTACATGAATAAAACATAAAACAAGGAAGGGACAACAGTGCTGTATGTAACTGTTCGGAATGATGACAAGGGGTCTAGAATCACAGATACTAAAAGGGTTATTCACTAAGCTGCCAAAGGCAGTCGAATGAATAACCGAGCCAAAGTGAAACGTGCCAGAGCCTCTTCGGCTATTCACTGCAGCCGTGTACGGCTATTTTGAGCCGTACATCGGCTGCATTCGACTCACTTCACCTCCCTTCGACTGAGCCGAACAGCCTCAGCACGGTCAGCCGAACCAAAGGGAAGAGCCCGTTCCCCTCAGCCAATCCAGGTGTTGTGTCAGCTGAGACGAACGTGCTCTTTCCTTCGTTTTGTCCAAACATGCTGAGGCTGTACATCCCAGGGTGTTCTTCAGTTTATCCAATATAATCGAATTCCCTGGCATTTAAACATTTATGAGCAGTCAAATCAGTAGAAATCCAATTGCTAAATGTCATGCAGGTGAGGCATTTGTGATAGCTGGAGTACACAACTCAATGTGTGACTGTTATTAAACCTACACCTTACTACACCTATTTTAGTAACAGATTTACAGACCTATCTTACATGTTTGTAAATGTTATTTTCTTTAGAGATACTCACCCTGGTTTGCTGTATAACAGATTTACAGACCTATCTTACATATTTGTAAATGTTATTTTCTTTAGAGATACTCACCCTGGTTTGCTGTATAACAGATTTACAGACCTATCTTACATATTTGTAAATGTTATTTTCTTTAGAGATACTCACCCTGGTTTGCTGTACTGGTCATAGAAGATTTCCATGAGCATGTTCCAAGTGATGCCTCCATTTATGGAGTACTCCAGTAGCACATTTTGATCACGGTTGCGAGGTATTATCAGACAGCCATACATGAAATAAAACTGAATAAATTCAGCGCTGGTCAGATTTAAATCCACAGAGACCAAAAGGCGACTACATCCCTGTGATGATATGAAAGAAAAACTACATCCACTTAATCAGTGAAAAAAGGTCTCAAAGCATTTTTTTTTTGCAGAAACATGGAGGCAGTCATTGAAGACCCCTCATTCTACAAACACTATTTGACTGGCTGTCATGCTGACCCTATGGTTTCAGTTATTTTTCAACCCAGAGCAAGTATACAGATAAGGCATTCTTAGCCAGATCAATAAAACAACCAGAAAGGTAGCATTTTCAGAAGCAGGGGAACCCATTTCTCTCAAGACAGGTTTACCTTAACAATATGTATAATATGTATATTATTCATTATCAGCCAGATGATTATGAACAAGTTATCTACTATATAACAAAATTATATACAGTTTTAAACAGTGATTGATAGAAATTATAATTAACACAGTATATCTACTAATTAGATGTTCTTTACTGGCAGTTTCATAAATGTATTATTTAGCCAGGACCTAGCAAAGGGCAAAGTTTTATAATCCAAAACACAATCAGATTTCAACATTTCTTATTTTACAGTGTTAAAGAAAATTGCAGAAAAACACTGATAGATGCTACAGCGCCACAGACACTGCTCAGCTTCCCACCATTTACAGTCAACCAGTTCTGGCTAGCTGGAGCCCGGTTAAAAGTGTCCTTCAGTTGAGTTGGGAGAGATACCTCCGGCTCATCACAATAAATCCCTCCCCAGTAGTCATCACATCTACAAACATGCCATAAATGTATACATTAAATGTACTGGTAACAGAAGTTAAGCATCTATTCAAAACAGAAAATCTATTTTATATACACAAACTGTAAAGTGATGCTTTGCACATACGTTTGAAAGAGGCCAGCGTAGATGAACATCTGAGGAGCACCCAAGGTCAATCAAGAGGGCAATGCTGCTGCTGTCCACATAGACAGGTCTAGTGGCATATAAGGTTTATATTATCCAGTGCTGAGAGAAATATGGAGGCTGCCATCGCTGACTTTATTCTAAAAATGCTAGATGCCTGCATGTCATGCTGGTCCACTGGCTTCAGTACTTTCTGAATCACTATCACTGACATGTCATAAGCGTAGTAAGAACAGTGCTATTCACAAAAGGGTGAAGAATTTGGAGAAGGCAGGAGAAGTGAACAATCTAGACCAAAATCGATGATTTTGAAAAATTCTCCAATTCAGCTCACTTTTCAGTTCAGCTATGTTGTCCTAGATTGTTCACTTCTCCTGCCTTCTCCCAACTCTTCACCCTTTTCTGAATAGCCCTGCTAGTCTGCATACTTGGTATGCATACTTGGTCCAGGTCGGTGACTTGGAAAGTATTTAAGCCACTAGATCAGCATGACATGCAAGAACTAGCATTTTCAAAGGGAACGGTCAGTAATGGTAGCCTAAATGTTTCCTTTAAGAGAAATCTATTAAAAAAATCTTTTAGGGCCCGTTCACACCATTCAGTGCATTCAGGGCACGGTTCAGGGCACTTGATTGCATACACAAACCCTCCCCACATTCTGGGGTGGGAGGGGGGCGTGGGTGTGCCATCCCACCTGCAGTAGGATCACCACACTGGAACGCAAGGCACAGCAATACCCTGCGTTTCAGTGCGGTGCGATCGCAAAAAATCATGCATGCATTTTTTTAGGCAATCAAACAGTACTGGAACTCAGGGCACTGCGATACAACACGCACTGTGGGTGGGAGGGGTGTCTGCAGTGACATTGAAATGAATGGCACCCCCTCCTGCCCCCAGAACACAGGGAGGCTTTGCTTATGCGATCCAGTGCATTCATGGCAAGGAAACATGCCCTGAACGCATTGGATGGGGTGAACAGGCCCTTAATATTTATTGGGAAATTTAAAAAAACAGGTAGATCATCATCAGCATGGTGTCCATAACAGGGAATAAAATTTTGTTTAAAATGTGACTGATATGAATCGTTTCAACCATGCTGTAAAACTGGACATTCATGAGCTTTAGAGCTCCCATATTTTTTACTTTTACTATATTTTTTTGTGTACTGATACCTTGGTGCTCTTTTCATCAGAAATCTGGGGTTTCATCTAAGGTGACCAGATTTTTAAAATGAAATCCGGGTAAATTTTTTTTTATTGGCAAATGGTAAAAAAAATATTTTATTAGCATATTTGACTCAAATTAAATATGCAGTATATTTCTATACACAAAATTATGTCCCCGGGAAAATACAATTAAAAAAACCTATTTTTTTTATACTCACTTGATCCCTGGATCCACCGACGAGCGCAGCCTCCCATCTCCCACGCTGTCAGAAGCTGCATACAGCGTGTGCCGGATACTATTTAAACTGGTGCGTGCTGTATGCAGCTTCTGACAGGCTGCGCTACTAGTGTAGCGTGAGCTGCACAAAATGTGCAGCCGGCTTCCCTGCTACGCCAATAGCATATCTTCTCAGAAGCTGCATACAGCACACACCGGTTTCAATAGTACCTGACACATACTGTATGCAGCTTCTGAGAGCATGGGAGACAGGAGGCTGCACTCGTCGGTGGAGACAGGAGGCTGCACTCGTCGGTGGAGACAGGAGGCTGTACTCGTCGGTGGATCCAGGGATCAAGTGAGTATAATTTCATGTTCCCGGGGACATAATTTGTCCGGGGACGGTCTCCTCATTCCAGGGACTGTCCCTGAAAATCGGGGATGAATGGTCAACCTACTTTCAGCTGAACTTGCAGCTATATTTTACATGTTTTACCTTCTTGTTAAAATGTGGTACAGTGAAAGAAATACATAAGTCCTCTGTGGAAACATATGTTTATGGCAGTCATTTTAATTGCAAACAGTAGTTTGTTTGAAAATGCCATAGTCCACTGTGCATGGTGTTTCTTTGAGTGGACCTATCAGGATAGTTGATACCAATTACAGCTGAATCTCCCACCCAGCAATGGAGCATGCTATTGCCCCTCCCAAAACTAAGGAGCGAATCAAGCAACGGCTTGACAGGTAACAGACAACATGACAGTTAGTGCTGGCTCAGCTATGTGACTGACTAATGAATTATAAGAAAACTCTTAAAAATGGAGCAAAAAACTGTTCTGGTATGAACAAGGTCACAGGAAAATTTTTCAGACAAATGATAGGCTGTAGTAATAGAAACATGACGCAAACATATTATAGCAAATACCATACTTATTTTTAAGTCTTCGATTTAAAATACAAAGTGCTGTTTTCAGAATAAAAAATATATCCCATACTTACACACAATTTCCCTGTACACATCGACCATGGCCGCTGCACATGTCAACACACCCATCTCCGATATAGACATTATCGATAGCCCAGGTTTGCTGTTTGTCAAAGGGTGATGGCTGATTCCAACGAAACCGAGTCCCCTGAGACCTTAGAAAATTAAAAACAAACATTATTATTATTATTAACATACTGAATATGATTTATATCGAGCCAGTAGTTTTCACTGCAAGAGACAGTACAATTAGAATACAATTTAATACAAGAGGATTAGGAGGGCCCTGCTCATGAGAGTTTACAATCTAAAAGGGAGGGGCAAGTGATAGAAAAGGGAAAAGGTAACACAAAAGGAGGCAGGATAACATCACTACAGAGATGAGTTTTCAGGAATCACTTAAAGGCAGATAGAGGACTTCCGGTTCCGGCGCCCATGTGAGAGGAAGCAGGGAGACCGCGCTCCGGCACCCGCGGCCACAAAACGGCTTAAAAACCGGCGAAAACGCCCGCCCCACTCACCTCCACAGATAGAGTATAAAATAGCTATACAGGTAGGGTACAGCAGGGAGTTCCAGAGGATGGGAGAGGCTCTGGAGAAGTCCCAGAGGTGAGCATGGGAGGAGGTGAAGAGGGGACTAGGGAGTAGGGGGTCCTGGTAGCAGCACAGTGGACAGTTTGGACGATATACGATATTGGAGATAAGGTTAGTGATGCAGCCAGGAGCAGAGTTGTACATGGCTTTGCATGTGTTTGTAAGTATATTGAATTTTGTATGCTGGGCTACTGAAAGCCAGTGGAGGGATTGGCAGAGAGGGATGGCAGTCACTGAATGGTTGGTAAGGTGGATGAGTCTAGCAGTAGAAATCATAGTAGACTGAAAAGGGGGCAGTCTGCATAAAGGTTGGCCACAAAGTAGGGAGTTGTGATAGTAGAGCCGGGAGACGAGGAGAGAGAGAATAAGTAGCTATGTGGTGTGATTTGTTAAGAAGGGGTCAGTTTTGGAAATGTTACAGAGATTAAGGTGGCAAGATTTGCACACTAATTGGATATGGTGCCTGAAAGAGAAGTCAAAATCTAGGATTAAATTTAGCACCCTGGCATTAGTAGAAGGACTGACAGTTGTGCTATTGATCTCAATGAAGAAGTTGGGGAAGAGGATATGAGAGGGGGCGACATTTATGAGCTCAGTTTCTTTTATTAGTAAACCAGTGATTTGTGATAAGACTTAAGGAGTGAGATGAGAAGTAGAGAGTTTTACAGAACATCCAGTTCTGGTATTAATATAACATGATGTTTTCAGAGCTAGATGCATGTTTACCCTTAATGACCTCCTGCTAACTTGGTTATGCCTGCTATTCTGGGATACATTAATTTAGTCACACCCATGTAAATTAAATGGGAATTATGAAAATCAATTACTATGGAGAATTATATAGTCTTATAATTATGTTGAAATATTGTGACTGTTCATTTGGGTTCCTACTTAAATTTACATTGTGTATCCTTTTCAGTATTTGGACAAAGTGTAATTTATTCCGTATATCTGTAGAAAAAAAACCTGTCAAATATTACCAGTCATCACTGTACATTAGACTTATTACCAAATTGGAAATGAAATGCAGGATGTGACCACAAGATGGCAATGTCTGCACTGAGTAAATGCCATGTTCAACAACACACAATTAGAAAATGTATTCTTAAATTTATTTGCATAATAAAAATCTTTTTGTGTACTGTCCATTGAAAACTGGTACAATAAAGAGAAAGGTAGAAAGCAAATAGTTTAAGAAAACAAACTGTCTACACATTTGCCAACCATAGGACATTCAATTAAATCTTGTTACAGGTTACCAAACAGCCTGAGCTGTGTTTGTGGACCTTGCAATGTGCCCTTTCATAGCAATCCATATTAAAGTTACAAAAAAGCACCTTTTAGGAGATTCACACATAAATGCAGATCTGCTGTTTTTCCACCCTGTCACATTTTGTTGAAAGTAACAGGCCTGTGATGACCACCTCAGAGATTAGGTTCTGTGTGTTCCTTCATCCACAGGCCTGATTCTACCTGTCATCAGCAACCTTGGGATTCTTATTGCTCCTCCAATGGCTACACTGCTTTTTTCTCTATACTCATAGCTCACTGTTTTATGCAACTATCCAGCTATTAAGGGATCCTTACATGATCTATACTGTATACTGTAGCTGGAATAACCCTGCAAATATTGTAATCTTCCTAAGTGAAACTGGCAAAAACCTGAAAAAAAAAAAAAGTAAAAAAGAAATCTCGGTGGCAGGCTGGCCAGAGCGTCTCACCCAGTTTCTAGCAACCAGTGATGTTGCCAGAAGCTGGGCAGAATGCCGGTTAGAGGTTACTAAGAGCTGGGAGGGGAGATGTGTATGGCCCTTACACATCTCTCCACCCGACGTTCTGGCTAGAAAGGGGGTGGAAGGCACACTGCAAGCATTGTGCAGCAGAGCCGACATGCCACTCTGCCTGCCATCCCCCCCACTCGACCCAAAGAGTTGCTGCCTCACTATAGGGACGACCTTTACCTCTGTGGTACAGAAAAATATGAAGGAAGGGGGGCGGGGG